CTGACATAACCTGACAGCAAATTGACGGCAAAAACCGAGCAAAGCTTGCTGACATGATTTGACGTCAAATTGGTGGCAAAAATCGAGCAAGATCTGCGCAGTGCAGTCTGATAGCAAATTGTCAGCAAAAACCGAACAAACTTTGCATTCCATTTAAATTTGACGTATACAGATATTTATAAATTTATCTTTTTTATTTATATTTTTGTCTTCAAATAACTAAAATGAGATTATATACAAGAAATTTTATTTTATTTTATTAATACAATATTTTTATATGTATAATACAAATTATATCTATATTATTAATTAGCAATATTACTAATAATATAAATTTCACGTTTACAATTAAAACGGACTAAATATATACGAAAAATAAAACATAATATGAAATAAATATATAATAAAATAATATATATAGTAAATATAATGTATATTATAAAAATTTAATACATTTTGTTATAAAACGGAATTAATAAGAAGTCGCATGAAATGTTAAATTGTCGCGCATTTTTTATCCTTCGTACATCGCAGTATTTACAAATAAATGGACTTATAATTAAAAATCAATACAATAAGAACAAATTTTAACATTACTCATCTTAAAATAAGATGGATGTATATACGCTCGTTGAAAAAAAAGCAAAAAACCTGAAAAAGAGAGAAATTATATTCAGAGTGTATCATGATTCGCGCCTACGAATTACATAGCGTTACTTCTAAATTAAAAGTGAGTGACTGAAAACTGAAAATAGATTTAATATAAAGGTTAAATGCCTCTTTTTACCAATGTGGCTGACTGGGTATACAGCGTTCCAACAAAAAACTTATTCTGAAAGATAAAAATATACACTTTATTATACATACCATTTTCTAATTACTTCATATTTAAAAAATACACCTAAATAAATATATACTCACAATAAATACATGATACATGATATTGCATAAACGTAACCTCAACAACCAGGGATGGGATTGTACAAATCAATTTCATTATTGTTATTATTTACATATTTACACTTTTTTCTTTTCATGGTATCTACTACAAACAAACAAAGAAAAAAGTAACATGTAAATATGTAAATAATGACAAAAATGAAATTAATATGTACAATCCCATCCCTGTTGTTGAGGTTTGACGTTTATATGACGATATCATATATCATGTATGTATTGTGAGTATGTACACTTATTTAGATGCATTTTTATTAATATGAAGTAATTTGAAAATAGTATGTATAATAAAATATATATTTTTATATTTCAGAATAAGTTCCCAGTAAGCAATTTGATAACAAATTGTTGCCAAATTGGCATCAAATTCGCTCAAAACTTTTATTGGAGCGCTGTATATATGGATAAACAATATATAAACAAGGATGAGATATTCGCAACCGAGAGATTACTAGTTCTAAACAAAAAAGGAAACATCTGTATTGTGTATCATAAAATGACAAAATCATTGTGCTGAAGAGGAAGAAGAGAAAGAAATACACGATAATCTCAATTTTATAGTATTTTCAAATTACTTTATATTAATAAAAATGTATCTAAATAAGTGTATACTCACAATACATACATGATACATGATATCGCCACATAAACGTCAGACCTCAACAACCAGGGATGGAATGGTACATATTTAATTTTATTATTTACATATTTACATGCTACTTTTTCCTTTACATATTTACATATTACTTGTTTCTTCTCTTGATATTTACTACAAATAATAATTTCAGGTTATTATCATTATCGTATACAATTTTATAATACACTATATTAATGTTACTTACATAAAATTGAGATTATCATGTATTTCTTTCTCTTCTTTTTCTTGAGCACAATGATTTTGTTATTTTAGGGTACAGAATGTAGGCATTTCCTTTTCTTTTTAAAACTAATAATCCCGATTGCGAATTTCTCATCCTTGTTTATAAATTCTTTATTTATATATACAGCGTTCCAATCAAAAATTTATTCTGAAAGATAAAAATATACACTTTGTTATACATACCATTTTCAAATTGCTTCATATTAATAAAAATACATCTAAATAAATATATACTCACAATACATACATGATACATGATATTGCATAAACGTAACCTCAACAACCAGCGATTGGACATATCAATTTCATTATTGTTATTATTTACATATTTACACTTTTTCCTTTTCATGGTATTTACTAAAAACAAAAAACTGATTTCCATATAAAACCTGTTATAGTTAACCACATAATTGTAGATTGCGTATATACTAACCAAAAATGCAGGCACACATAAATCTCTTTGACAAGTCCAAATTACGGATGTTCATTTCAACATTATACATATTCGGTAGTACATCACTAGTCTGGTTTTTTGTCGCATGTATATATATAAAAAGGAAAATAGATTTTTTTATATGTTTATACTTAACGCCGATTAACTCCCAATACAAAAAGCAAAACTAATAATTTGATCCCGTATACTTTTTTTACGCACTCGAAACCAAGGTCCAAAAAACACACCCGTCTGTTCTTGTTTACGGACGATAACGGACTACCGAACCTGAAAAGACTGCGAAAAAGCTATGAATGTCCGATCATTTTAACTGAAGGTTTCACTTTCGTCTTGCATTGACTGATTTCGCCTACTACGTGAAACAAAATTTAACTTTAACCAAAATGAAAGTACCCAGCAAGCAAAATGATGCAAACTTTGCGCAAAGTTTGCAGCAAACCCGAGCATGCCTTTACAGCAAAATTGTGACAAGGTTTGTCCGCAAAAAGCTTAGCTTGTGCTGGCAAAGCTTGTCGCAATAGTGTGATGCACATTTTGCGCAAATAAAGAGCAAATCTTGCCGTGCATGACATGACAGCAAATTTATGGCAAGAATAGGGCAAACCTTGCCGTGCACGACATGACAGCAAATTTGTGGCAAGAATAGGGCAAACCTTGTCGTGCACGACATGACAGCAAATTTGTGGCAAGAATAGGGCAAACCTTGCCATGCACGGTATGATAGCAAATTTGTGGCAAGAATAGGGCAAATCTGAGTGATTCAGGACTTCTGTGACAAATTGTGAGAAACGATAAATCTCGCAGAGAGGACTATTTTGTGAAACAATCCGTTCTTTGTTTGACACGTCGTTTTTAGAAGCTATGCGACCGCGCAGACAAAGTCTTAGATGACATTTATTATAATTATGAGATGATGATAATATATGAATAATTGAAAATGAATTTATAATATGATGAATATATGAATTATATATATATATATATACAGGGTGTCCCAAAGCACCCTTGACAACGCTCGTCAGCAAGTAAAGCACAGTAAACTGAACAGAAAAGTCCTGTAACATTTTTTTCTATAACGCTTAAT